ACGACTAATGGAACGTGAAAAGGTGGGTGGGGGTGGGGGTGGGGATACTGCTCTTCTCCTTGGACCTCCTCCTTACTAAGCGAGGACGTAGGGTACTATAGGAACTTGGGGGGGCTGAGATTGTGCGTCCCCGAGTTCTCGGAGGGAAATGTATAGGTTGATGAGAGGAGTTGTACTGTAGGCGTCGGTGGAGGGGGGTTTGATTTGTGATTTGGTTAAGGAGGAGTGGGAATTAGTGTTGTTGGAGGGGTACTTAGGCTCTGTTTACTCAGAATATTGTACCTCAATATCCAGTAGGCTCTAGTAGGGACACGCTAATGTATATACCGTGGGTCCTTAATCTATACTTAGATCTGCAAGACTCGAGGGTCAAGCGAGGCTTATGCGAGGACTCTGCTTCAGGCTACGTACGCTGTAGCTACAGGCTCTCATACTCTCTATTAGGGTACTAAAACCCTAGGACTTTATAGTACGTTTATATAAGCTGGTCTATTCGATTGGGAATTGTCGCTTTAGTCTCTAATATTCAACAATAAAACTTAAATAAAAAGTAAATAATTCTATTAGAGCCGACTTAGTAGAAGACAACCCTAGAGATAGTAAAAGTATGGGAATAGGGGTAAAAACAGACAGTCGTTCGTAGACTATCTTAGTATAATATAGAAGGTGAAAAAGACCTCTAGAGGTCTATATTACTTTTACCACCAAAGTAATGTAGCAGGGTACGATTGTAGATTAAATATATAATCTATAGTATCTATATATAGACGGATTTTACACTAGGCCAGAGGAAGTATAATACGCTCGGAGACGTCCTTTTATAGCCACTTTCGTCGAAACGTAGGACGATATAAAGGTCTAATATTCTGGGTAAACAGAGCCTTAGACAATGAGTACTGTATTGGTATATTAATCCTTCAACTTTTAGGGGTGCTTATGAGAAAGGAGGATGGATGGGGAAGAAGGGGTGGATTGTTTTTCTCGTTGATTTGATGGTTGCACATGTATACTTTACTTATACTTACGGTGTTTGGTATGAAAGAAGGGGATTTGGTGAGGAAGGTAAGGAGTGTGGGGTCTGTTGTCATTGTTGCAATTGGTATACTTGTACTTGTACTTTATGGTTTGCGATAAGTTGACAGGGGGTAGGGGGTTTTGTTTGAGGACTTCTCTCTGAGAGGCGGAAAGGGGGAATACATGTGGCACTATTTGGTTGTAGATGTGTGACATATAGGCCACCGAGAATTCGTTTCCCCAGAGCGCATATTTTTGGAAACTTGAGCTTGTTGAATTTGATATCGATTACATGAGTCCACGAGCAGCTTGTAAATATGGTCTGGTAGCTGACCAAAGAACACATGGCGGTCAGATAGTCATGGTGCGGTGCCTGGAATCTTATCTAGAACCAAAAATCCTTTGTTTATCTCGCTTAATCCTGGACTCTTGACATCTGATATTATGAAATCCTCCTTTCTCATCCTCATTTCGTCTCCACACATTCACACCACGCACCCAAAGCCAAAACAAAAACATACACCCAATCCCACCCTAAACACCTCCCTCTACCCCAACACGCCTCCTAAACTCCAGATAAGGCCCCTCATGACTCGCCCCAAAAACCTCATAAATCTGAAACTCCCCCTCCCGTACCCTCCCCTCGCCTAACCCCTCTCTCCCCCCACCAACACCTCCCAACTCCCCTTCCGCCACCTCAAAATCAAAATCCCACAAAGTCTTCGCGAGCAACAAGCTGATCGTCAGATACGCCATGGCTTTTCCTGCGCATCCCCGTGGACCGAGTGAGAATGCCGCGAAGGCGTCGCGCATGATCTTGCGGCTCTCGGCCGAGAAGGGGGTTTTTTCGTCTGAGGGGATTCAGCGGGCGGGTTGGTAGGTGTAGGGTGAGGGGAAGTAGGCGGGGTTGTGGTGCAGTGAGTAGGTGTTTATTCCGAGGATTGTGCCGGGGGGGTGGAGTGGGAGGCTACTGTGAAGGGGTGGGGGAAGGGGGAGAAGTCGCGCCACTTGGGGTTTGTTAGCGATGTTTTCTCATAGGTTTGAGGAGTTCTCATTGAAGGGACGAGCCAGAAAGAGGATTTGAATAAGCTGACAAGAAATAGTCTAAGAAAATCATCTTACAAGGATCCCCGAGACAGGCGAGGCAAGACGTAGTGCTTCGTCGATACAGGCACGGAGGTATGTACAACTTGCCAGCTTAGCACCGCAGATCTCATCACCGCTCGTGAATGTGGAGCGGATTTCGGCCGCGAGTCTCTGGTATGAGACGGGGTTTCGCGATAGGTAGAAGAAGGTGGCGCTGAGAGCTGTTCTTGTGGTGTCGCCGGCTGGTTTGATGAGTTTTTGTTAGTCAGGTTTTTGGTGGAATGATGGGATATGTTAGTTTTTCCTTGGAAGGTTAAGATGATGTTGTTCTCGAATTGAGATATTCGAATCCAGTTCTTGGGTTCATAAGGGGTGCACAAGTCTGCTATCTCAAAAGATTCGCATAACTGTTGTGCTTGAGCTATGCGAGTCTTTTTTCAATAATTTGTTTTAAAGATTGGGAAATGAAACAACAGTGAAAATCAAACGAACCAGCAGCCAGAAAAATATTAGCTTCAGCCCACAGCTCACTTTTCCTAATTCCCTCCGCTCCTTCAACCCCCAAACTATCAGCAACAAAAGAATAAAGATCGTGCTTAGCATCGTTCGCTTCGGCAGTACGAGACGTAATAAGTCTCTCCACAAGAGCAAAATACTTCTCAACCACCCTAAAAGCCGGCAACATCATCAGCACCCCAAGCTTCCACTCCCTCAACAAAGGGAACTGAAGCAGAACACTATTCGCGAACGTCCCGACATCAAGAACCGTAAGTAGAAACCGATTCTCCTCATCAGTCTGTAGACTGAGATCATACCCGAACGTGAGCAGAGCTGCGATGTTCATCCCATACCATCTGGTTTCTTGGCTCATATTCACGGGCTGCGATAGTTTCGAGTGGGAGGATAGGTTTTGTAGGAAGATATTTGCTTGTGTGTTGATGATTGGCTCGAAGGTTAGTATCGACCGGTCGGAGAGCACTTCGCCGATGAGGCGTCGTCGGTGACGATGCGCGATTTTGTCGACGACGGTGAAGATGGTGTGGATGCTGAGGCTGGGGCCGAGGGCCACGTAGTCTTTTGTTTTGGTTGTGCGGTCGGTTTTGTAGATGTCTGTCCGGGGGTTAGTGATCACTGGTATTTCAGCGGCTTGGGGGGAATACCACGTAAGGCTTCGACCGAGTTGAAAATGAGTTTGTTTGGTCCTTGTCTTATGACTGAACCTAGAGGGAGAAATCAGTATTGGCTAGTCTTGTTTGTTATCTCCGAGGGACTTACCACATTTCTGTTGGTTCTTCAGAGTTGTCAAGTGAAGACATCGCTTCCACGCGTAGTACCCGTTGTAAATATTTGATAACTTCGCAACGAATGGTCCTGGATATTTGCTCAATGGATGGAGGAATACTTGATAGCCAATCCATAAGAGGATCTCGAGAAAGGATTAGTGCCTGTAGGGATGGTCGGAACTTGTCAACCTACATATGCTGTAATAGTCACAAGAGCATAATAGAACAGCATTTTCTGTCTTCAACGAGGTCTGGTCTGATTTATTTTGGTGTCTTGTTACAGTAGTGAAAACGAGAAGGTGAGAGTATTTTATGGAAGGGGATTTCGCTGACCAACCAATCAACATGCAACCGGAGGAATATCTCATTGGAACTAGGGGTGAGAATGAATTACGTACTGTTGGCTAGTTATATTGCGATAAAGTCTCTTGCGTGTTGGTTTTAACTCGATCTTGTAGTGGGCGAAAGAACCAGCATATCGTTTATTCGCTATTTCTACAGTGAAGAATGAATCTTCAAGCACAATTGAATCCAATTTTCCGGGTATTCTCGCCTTGTCAATGCTCATAGCACGACTACAATTCATATTTTGATTTTGAAAGCACGAGAACTCGTCAAAAGTACACGTATACGGTACAGTAGATCCTGACGACACCTAAAACCCCCGAAAACACGGATTCATGAAGTTTACCCTGGGGTTGTCACTTTACAAGTACACTCTAGCTTCAAAATCTCATCGAAATCTCTCATACCTAAGCACAGTCATCTTTTGTACTTGGATGGAAAGAGATGGGTCAAGGCCCTAGATTTAATGGGGACGGCATTTTTGTGTCTTATTGTTTTCACGCTTCGATGCCATGTGCTTTCTCTGCTTCAGAGAGTTGATTTTGGGATCAAGTCGAGCTTGGGTTGTATTCTCAATCCAAACCATCCAGAGATGTTGTTTCCGTTTTGACTGGCAGTTGCTTATTTTTGAATGATATTCGAATTGAATGTAAGGCAAGAAAGAATTAAGCGTTAAGCTAAGAGACCCAATAATTATCTAGGGACTTAAAGCCATCTCTGTGGCTTCCAAACGGTTATTTGTAACTATGGGATCACCAAGATTTACCAAACGAGATGCATCCATAGTGATGAAGTAAATGGTCATGTGACCAGTTTATGTCATACCAGCCACTATATATACCAGTTCTCCTTCAGAGTTCTGGCAAATAGACTATTACCTTAGTATATTCTTTTAAATTATTAGTATCAACTTTTCAGGGAACTGTCTGACATAGTACTAAAGACAACGATACATTGGGCTCCGAATCTTTCCACAGCGAGTTCCCTAAGTAAGGCAGCTCATATAGACAAAGTTGGAAATGAAGAAACTTTTCAAATAAGTTATAGTAAAAGTTAATGTTTTCTTTTTAATTTAATTCTTTATTTCGTCTTCTACTTTAAATATATTTAAATTAAAAACTATTTAAATTATAACCTATTTAATAGTTGTTTAATAGAGAAATAACTTATAGGAGTAATTTATAGTTTAAATAAAGAATAAAAGAAACTTTACTCTTCTAACTAACAAAAATAGATATTAATTATTAGACTTTACATATTAATTAGACAATCGTAGAATTAGTTAAATCAATACTTAAACATTTTTTTTAATTTGTTCTTTTATTAAGGTAACAAGGTAGCGAGCGTAGTACGTAGCTCGAGCGTGGTAGTAAAACCAAAAAGTTAACACTAATAACTAAGGATACTTATATAACTACGGGTTAACTTTTTAGTGTTACTACTGTAACGAATACTCAAACTGGCTAACTAAACTTGGCTGGGTGTTCGCTGGTTGGTATGCTATGATAAGAAGAAGACTATCGGGTTGTTCACTTGGAAGTGAACTCGTTACTTGTATCAAAGATGTCAAACTAATATGATAAGATTGATAACTAAGTTGAGCACGAAGCTCCTATCTAATGGCAGACGTGCCAGTCTTATATAGAACCTTCGTTCCCAATATATCGCTTCCATCGCAATCGATAAAATCGATCATCGCTTTCATCGATTTCGATCAAGTCGATATAGTCACGTGATTTCTGGTTGCTGAGAAATTCCTTGGATCGTCTGGCTAGCCTGATGAAACCACCCGATCCTTACTATTGGTTAAATACCAATGGGTTCTCCTGTCAGCGAAGTGCTGTCTGAGCCCATGGTCCCAAATGTCACCTGCTGATTTCGTAATCGTGACAATAACTAAGTTGAGCACGAAGCTCCTATCTAATGGCAGACGTGCCAGTCTTATATAGAACCTTCGTTCCCAATATATCGCTTCCATCGCAATCGATAAAATCGATCATCGCTTTCATCGATTTCGATCAAGTCGATATAGTCACGTGATTTCTGGTTGCTGAGAAATTCCTTGGATCGTCTGGCTAGCCTGATGAAACCACCCGATCCTTACTATTGGTTAAATACCAATGGGTTCTCCTGTCAGCGAAGTGCTGTCTGAGCCCATGGTCCCAAATGTCACCTGCTGATTTCGTAATCGTGACAGATCGCTAGAGTCGCTCGTCTACCGAGTCGACCCAGGCGACTGGAGCGCTCGTCGCTCCAGGCGACCCAACTGTCACGTGATTATAACCAAAGGAAATCCCTGGATCGCTTAGCTAGCCTAGCCGATCCCTATTTGCTATAAGTTTACGGATGTGCTTGACCTGTCAGGGCGCCGCCTGGTCTTCACTCTTCACGTGTTAACACGTGATTCGTGACAACTACCTTAAAAAACAACACTTATAAAAACTAGATTTTAAGTATTAGTATTATTATTATTACGATTATGCAGGTTATATTTAAAATCTAATATTTAATACCTATTTTTATTAAGTTGTTATAGTAATTATAGTTATTCAAGTATCCTAATGTATTAGCTTAGTTACTACTATACTTGGTTATTAGTAGTAACTTCTTAGGATTACTACCCTGCTAGCCTACTACCTCCAAAAACGATACTTAAAAAAAATTAATTTAGGTATTGAATCTATTACTATTACGATTGTATAGCTTATATTTGAAGTCTAATAATTAATATCTATTTTTGTTATATAGTTATTCGGTTTTCTATTACCGCGCTCAGGCGCTGACAAAAAAAATGTTCTATTGCCTGGCGCTAATAGCCTCGGTAACACCCCGACGTTACTGTAATATAAGTTTACCTTTTGAGAGAAGCGAGCTTTTTGACGTGTTTTGACGGTTTTTGACTCGGAATACTCGTACTTCGATTCACTTTTATTACGACCCCACTGTATATCCGTACCGATCGGTAGTTAGGTGCCATGGAAAGGGGTCGGTTTTTCAGGGGGGTGACCACGTAAGAGCGAATCAGAAAGGTCCCCAAGGCCCAGCAGTCCGCGTCAATCCACGTTGGTCTTGGCATTGTTTACTTCCGCTCAGACAGGGTCAAAGCACAATATCAAAAACACAACTCCCCTCACCGACTTGCACAACTACGAGTACCAGTCCAGTCTCGACCGATATTACACTTGCCAATTGACCAATTCTACCGAGAAACAATTTCGAGTCTTTGTACGCTGCGAAAAACTCTATTCTGACAACCATGGAGTCTGACAATCTGCGCACCGCGTCCCTCTACATCAACAACCAACTCCTCTCCCGGGGTCTTCTCCGCAATGGCCAGACAATCGATTTCGCACGCCCAGAGAAGGGAGATGGTGGAGTACCGGGCACGATGGGAAGGGTTATGAGTGTGATCAATGACTTGATCTTGCGACGAGATGTGCGTATATCCTTCGCAATGGGGAGCTTGACCTTGAAAGTACTTCACTAACTGTTCTCCCCCAGCGCGATGCAACCCAGCGTGAAAATCTATCCCAATCCATACGCACCTTGCGAGCGGATTCCCTGCGACAAACGACCGAGTTCGAACGCGTCTCCACGAAGCATATGGAAGCTCAGCGCAAACTCGGTTTGGCCGAGGCAAACGACCGCGCGCTGAAGCAGCAGATTCGGAGCGCGGAAACGGCAGCCAAGGGATTGAAGGAGGAGATGGCGAAGATGAAGCTCCTGGTCGGACAGACGAGAAGTTCTTGTGCGAATGAAATCCGGAAACGAGAACGTGTCATTGAGGGTATGAAGAAACATGTTGGGGAAGGTGGGAGAGCTAGAGGGAGTGGGAGGGCAGTTGGAGTTATGACTGTGAATGTCGTGGCCGGTGTTGGTGGTGAGAAGAACTCCGCTGATAGTATGGGCGTGGATGATACGAATTACGACCTAAGGATGGAGACGAATGAGTTCCTCACGGAATTGGCCAGGGGGTTGAGCGAGGATAATGAGGGCATGAATGCTTTACTTCGGCGAACTGTTGATACTCTGAAGACATTGAGTGGATATGATAAGCCCGAAAGTGATAACGGACTGGTTATGGAAACGGAAAGTGGATTTGAGACGCTGGCTGCTGAAATGGATCTCATCATCGATCATCTACGACACATCTTGACAAATCCTTCATTCGTACCACTGGAAGAAGTAGAGGTCCGGGAAGAAGAAATTCTGCGATTGCGAGCAGGCTGGGAGAAGATGGAATCACGTTGGAAGGAAGCAGTTCAGATGATGGACGGCTGGCGAAGACGAATGACTAGAAGTGGGCAAACTGTTAATCTCGAGGAATTGAAAATGGGACTTTCTTTGAGTCCAAGCAAGACCGAAGAGGAGGAAGATACCGCACCAGCATTCCATCAATTGTCAACACTAATTGAAGAGGGCGAGGGAGATACCCAGGCGGATATTGATGCGATGGATGACTCTGGTATTCCTGGGCAGGAGGACAATGAAGAGGCAGATCTCGATGATGAGGATTCGGAAATGTATGAGTCCAGCTTGTTTGAAGAGGAACCCGTGGATGAAATGTCTGAGCAGCAAGAGCAAGATGCGCCCGAGGAACCTTCAACTTATCAGCATCAAGATGTTACTTTCGCATCAGAATCCTCAATGTCCCCCGGTCCACCTCTACAGCTATCACCACTTCGAGAAACCAATACCAACGGAAATCGTGGTTCACTTGCCTCTCCTCAAAGAGAGGGATTTTCTACAATTGAGGAAGAAAATACCTATGATCTTCTGCAACTCAACTCCCCATCGCCACGAAGAAAGTCAAAGTCTAATAGAGGCACGCCTCAACCTCGACACAAAAGGGAGGACTCGTCGACTTTACCAGACTCGACAGCCTTTTCCAAATCAGAGCCCTTGGACGAAATTTCGCTAATCTCAACTGTCAACATCTCTCAACGCTCGCCACGAAAAACGTCAAATCCCACCCCTAAATCATCAAGTTCAGGGCCCCCGAAAATGCAGCCACTGCAAAAACTACAACAAACACCTTCCTCTCGTTTACCCAAACCAAGAAACAACCCACCACAACAGAGTCCCTTGACCATGGCGAGCATCGCGGCGAAACTCGCAGCCACAGAGCGAGAAGCGGACGCAGCACGCGTTCGAGCCAAAATCAAGGCTGCTAAGCTCAAGAGAGGTGCCGCACCATCAACCACGACGAATACCGACGCGACCAAACTCATGCCTCCGCCCCAGATAATCAAAGAGGAAGACAATGAACCTGTCAAATCCGACGTCAGCGATAGCCGGAAGCGCAAGGGAACGGGGAGGAGTCAAGGTGGAAGGGCGAATCGTAGGAGGAGTACGTTGAGTCCTTGGGAATTGGATAGTCTGATTACGGGGACGGTGGGGGTTAGTCCTAGCCCCAAGAAATAGAGGCGATTTATATGGCATTACTTCTTAATTTTGCTTTCTGGGGTGGTGTTTGTTTTGTTCGTTTGTTTGTAGATGGGTGGATTGCATTGCATTGCATCTTTTCTGTGGCGTTTTTTTGTCTTCATTATTGTATTGATGGGGGAGGGGTTCTTTGGGTTGGTTACTTTATATTACTGTACTTGGAGTACTCTACTTTACTTTAGTTTATGAGGGGATGAATTGATGATGGGTTTATGATGCATGTATACTTTACTTTTCTCTCCTTTTTTTTGCATTGCATTGTTGCTTTTTGGTGGGTTGTGGACCGAGATATTTAATTAATTATATACTGTAATGAATATTCTTGAGTACGTACGGAGTAGTGGTGTCTGTGTAATTGAGTTTGTGAATATTATTGCTTCAGTGGAATGAACGGTTTTTGTTATATTGGTAAAAGTGTTCCTGTTAAGAGGAGAAGGTTGTTTAGTGGAGGTAGGATAGTAGTCTAGATATGATTTAGAAAGTTGTTATACTAGTATTGCTAAGATAGGGTAGAAGGCGTGAATTTTCTAACCTACTAGTGAGCTAGTAAGTCTTACATATACTTGGAGCAAACTAAAAAAAAGGCTAGTAATACACGGTATATATTAAGATATGGAACACGTGAGTACGGTAGTTATATAGTAAGTAATCTTGGAAATCAAGAAAGTAAAGGGAATAGAAATAATTTCTATTTATAATGAAATTAATTATATTACTCTAAATCGCTCGGAAAATCATTTTAGTTGCGCGAGGCTTTTGGGGTCATGTTATTGTTTTTCTGATTTACGTGTATATATAATATAACTACCGTATCTTTTATTATTAAAGATAATTCTTCTATACTCTAGTTACGTTTTATAGTAGTTACGTTACTACAACTTAAGTACTCGAGTAGTGAAACTTTGTACTTATTACTACTTGACTAGTGGAATCCGCTACTCTACTCTACTTTTAATCGAGTAATACTCGAGTAGTTGAGTAGTTCTTTCGTACGCTGCTTACAAAGGATATAAGTGCATTCCTGGTGGAGTGACTAGAGTCCACAGAATTATCGGCAGAGTTTCTCGTGAGTCAATCGGTCTAACCTGTCGGCAGATGTACAGCAGAAATTCGACAGAAGAACATGGCGGTTTGGTTCTTTTTGAATGCACAAAAACAAGGGCCATCTTTATAGTACATATTTTCATCTAGGTCATTTTACGTGAAAACAATTTTCTTCTCAGGACCCGGAAAATGGTTAGGAATATAATCGGGGATATTCTTATACGAGTATTTTAACAACGAAATTCTTCTAATTCCTTTGGTCCTTCTGTCGAGTTGTTATTCTAGATCTCCGGGAAAATGAGAGTCGATTATTCTAGCTGCTTACGGTGATTCGTTCGATTGTTCTAACCTTTAGCTTCAACAAAAGTCACCTGCACGATACCGTTCGGCAGTTGAGAAAATGGGTGTTCTAGGACTTTGAGTAGGGGCTATTTAGATCAGGTATTCTTGTTTGTGCCCGTGTAGAATCTGTGCAAATAGCAAGTTTCGTCACCGTTCTTGCAATATTAGAAACCGGTGTATCACTTCCTAGATTTGCACCAATTTTGGGAATCATCTGATCAGCTACTTGGCTAGTCTTTTACTTACCGGCCCGTAGTACCCATCTAGTGGGATACGTATGGGCAAGACCAGCCATCACACTAAATTGGTCCACCGACTATACTATAACTTGAATACTTGGCAGGGGTCCAGTGTCCGGCACTAAGAACTACTGTTTCACTGCCTATGCTCCACCCCCTCCCCCTTCCTCTTTTCTATCTTTTAAGCTTGGAAGTATGATGACCAACTCGGTTCTTGTGTGCTCCTAGCACGCTGCCAAATTAGCCGAGCTCCACTTTATGTCAGTAGTAACACCGTGGGGAGACACTCTAGAGAGCGGCCATACCTGGCATTTGCCAATTTATACCCATCCAAAAGAAATCATAGAGTGTTTACGCTTTGGATTTCCTTATGATCTGTTTTTTGATGGCATGTATCTAGAAGGTTTTGCAAGAGGGTATCCAAGGAATATAAGGCACATTCTAATATGCGAGCTAAATAGTTCCGTGTGTTAGAGTTGTATGAGTATACGAATATACATAATATACACAGGTTTTCATATGGTGTACATTTCAAACTTATCAGGGCCAACCAAGGCCATAGATTAAAGCGGTTCATTCGGCATTTGTGTCTAGTCGTCATCTTCTAGGGACTAGTTTGGGATATCAGCCCACCATTGACCAAGTGCGCTACCAATTCGTCATCCTAAAATGGACCCACAAATTGAAGTAGATAAATGAAACTTATCCCATCCACCTTTAAGCATCAAGAAAAAATGGTTTACGTTTATGTCAACAGCCGTATAGTTCAGCGCCGCTCGGAAGAGGAAAGAGATAACAGATTGAAGAGGCTTCCCGTTGTAAGGAACCGCGGTAAAACTGCCCTCTGTGCCTGCACTTTGCCTCTTGTTCAGAATCTAATAAGTCGCGCAGCTTTCGAAAATTACAAAAATGATTACCCAAAAACACGCTTCAACAACTTTGAAGAGCTAAAAGACTGGAGGAAAGATATTGCGGAAAAGTATCTTGATAACGCCTTATGGCAATGGAAAAAAGCAAGCTGGTATTTGCGTTCCAAGACATACCAAGAGCGTGGTAAGTTTTACAGTCTCCAGAACGGAATAAAGTTCACCAAAGCTAAAGTTCTGTTCTCTCAGCATATGAGATCTATAAGGAAGAGCACCCAAAGACAATTTACAAGGGTAACGATGATATTTCCTCTGCAGTCGCATGGCGTTATATTGATAAGGTTGTTGCGGAGGAGTTCAAAAGAAATAAGGAGTATAACAAACGTCGAAAGGAGAAAATCTGTGAAAAGGGACCGCTTCGAGTATTTTTCTATCGAGTGACACACCTACCAAAGGAAAGTACAATGTAGAGGTATGGTGTTGGGCACCTTTGAGAATAGAGAAAGTGGTAAGCCATCTATTGTTCCTTTTTTAACTGCCAATATAATAGATGTAGTGGATCTGTAAGAGAGGCGGGCATTACCCTGTACTCGTACACACCTAAGTTATAAAAGAAATATTATCCCAAAGACCTCACATAACTATATCAATTATACGAATAGTTTAGAACAATTGATACTTTTTACTCCTTATTAACCGAGATAAAACAGGACACTTGATTTACAGGTTGTGGCAGACTTTCAGTATAATAGCTTTTGGAAGCGTGTATAGAGCAATGCCCGCCTCTCATATACAGTAGCATGAATAACTTAGGGCAATCAGATTTTGATAATTTGATTAAAGGCCTAACACAAAAACCAATATTCCTGGCGTGTACAAATAACTACCAAAAGACAAATTCCTGGCAACACGGTAACGATAGTTACATATAAAATACAAAAATAACCAACGCAATAAGTAACGATATAACGCCCACGAAATTCAAAATAATACCAAACCAAACAAGAACCTTGTAACGCCTTCCCTGCGGAACCGTAAACGCTGGTGCGATACCGCAATAAGTCTGGGAGAAAAGGGAAGTCATAACACCGACATATAACACTATTTTGACACCCCCAATAGGAGGCTGTCCCATAAACCCAAAAGCGACTAGGGCCAGGCAAGAAAACGCAACAATTCGTGCCTGAGTAAGGCAAAACTTTCGAAAAGTCTCCAAAGGAAGCTCCTCGTCACCCTCCCCCCCTTCCCCATTTCCCCGCCCTTCATCCACGGTAGCAGCAGCACCACCACCAGCAACAGCACCAGCAGCACCAACACCAACACCAGCACCAGTGCCAGCAGCAGAAGCAGAAAAGGGCGCGGAGAGGGAGGAGGAGGAGGAAGTTTGGCGGGAAACCGCCGGAAAGTACTGGGACGAGGAGGAGAGGCTGCGGGTGGTGGAGTTGGTTGGAGGAGAGATCTTCCTCTGTCGCAGAGGAATTGGTTTGTTTGGTGCCATTATAGGCACGGGTTTTTTCTCGCGGCGGGGTGATTCTAGTAGTGGTAGAAAAGCTCCCAAAGGTTTCTCTGCAGTATTTGACATTTTGGTGGTGATTCTGCGTGGAGCCCTGGGAAGACAGAAAACTGAGGGGGCTGTATTCTACATAAATAAGTCAGCGGTATCCCCATAGCAATTGCTTCTGTTTTCTACAATTAGGAGTATTACCGAAGAAAAGGGGGGAAAGAACAAGGCAGTCAACCGACTCGCTTAAACCAACACGTGACATACCCCCACTTCAGACCCCGGACTCTGGCTCCCGGTGGGCAAGAAAAGTGGCAGAGATTCATTTTTTGACTATTAGCGTAAGTTATTTCTAAGTACTAAATTGATTTAAATATCTAGAACAATTGCCTTTATTGTGCTATCGTTTTAGATGAATCATTTTAATTGTTCTAAACAAATAATACAATACAATGGTTTTTAGCTAAGTCGGGATAAGATAAAAGAGGTCTTTGCCACTTTCCTTGTCCACCGGGGGCCGGAAATCTGGGCTATTATAGCCATTGTTCTCTTGGATCCACTAATAGTATTGCGCCCAAAGAGTTAAATCAAATCTTTTGCTAGGCCTTTAATCAAATGATCAAAGTCTGGTCTACTTTCTCTATTCCCAACGGCTCGCAACACCACACTTCTACATTATAGTATCCTTCGTCAGGTGCCTCACTCGATAGAAAGCATTCAAGTAACCAAATAAACATTCCTCTTGGCTTGGCGACCTTCTCTGTCTGAGATCAACCACTCTCTCTCAATGACTTTGGTGCCCTCTCCCCTTTTGATATGGGATCTGAAGACTCTCCGCTATAAGACCGTCTTCTCGGATGGAATCCCTTCTCCGCATCAACCCCATTCATGATTTCTGCGTCACTTCGCCCAACCGGCGTGGGTGTTTGTGCACTTCGCTTATGGGTTTCCTCCTCTCCACGCCTCTCTGAGGTGGGGTCGTTAAGACCTTCTTCACCTGACTCCTCAGAACCGGAATCTTCTTCCGACATATTCTTAATTTCATCGCCAGCTGGTGTCCATTCCAAGAGTAATCCTCGAACGACGTCGGTATCTTCATACAGATTGTCGCCATCTTGTGGTCTAGGGTTGAAAGATCTGGAGTCGTAGTATTCGGGATATGGGACAGAATCTCGTCTAGGTATTGAAGCTGAACGATAATGGTACTCGGAAGGCCGAGAGATATGGGAAGCTGCGCGATAAGAAAATGATGACCGTCGGTGGGGAGAAGACTTGCGAAGTGGAGGGGCTGCTAGGTAATGCTGTCCGTCGTCATCGTAGTCATTATAGACCCTTTTTTTGATAATTACAGGAGGGGGTCCGGATCCTCTCGTGGCTGTAGAACGCGCAGTTTCACGTTGATATGACGATTGACGACGACTTCTTTCGGGCTCTTTCCCATATGTCGAACTTTTAGTTTGGGTGTGCCTTGTGCCTGTTGACGATTGGCGAGATCGCGACCGTGGTCTCATAGGTGCAGCTGGTACTTCGTATCTGGGTTCAGGGTGTCGATATCTTTGAGGATAATCATCACTATACTCTGTATCTTGTCTTTCGCCCCTCTCTGGTTGATAGTCAGATCCAAATTCGTCTATTCGCGCTTTAGTAGGGGTATATCCATAACCTCGCTCCGGTTGATGATTGTCGATGATGATTTTGATGTCTCGTTCGTTCTCAAGCCGTTCCCCCGGTGCTCTTTGTAAATAACGCTTAGAGCGTCGAGTACGTTGTGGGCTTCTTGTTCCACCTTGGAGACTTTCTGAGGAGCTACCAGAACTTTCCTCCCATGGGTCCCTTTTCGAGATTGCAATGGAAGCTATGGCACCCTTCATAGTTCTCCGGAGGTAAATCGTAACAGAACGGAAGCCTGACGAGGAATCCTCAAGCTTTTCCAGTTGGGCTATATGCCAGGAATACCTAGAATCCTTCTCTTGAGCCATCATCTCGGCTATGGCTAGTAGGATTTGCTCTTGTTGAGATAAGAGAAGCCAATGCTGTTTCTTGATCACTCGTGGCCCTTTGACATTCAACTCGAGTATCCTTCGGAGTATGTCTTCTTCGGAGAACCCTTCACGAGTGAGAGTTGAAGGTACCGACTTGGCATCACCATAAGTGTTACGGGGATCGACAACTCGGATGGTGTATGCGGCGTAGTTCTGTGATGTGCGCGAAAAGATATCTTGATCTGGATGAGAATTAGCCTCTTCTGTTATGTTAATGTTAGCATGAGCCCTCGTTATGGCTCAGAGTGCACGTGAAAACCCTAATGTGCAAAGTTGTCTGGCACAATCAACTTGATTGTCCGAGCTACCTAGTGCAATAGAGAGTTCTATGTCGAGATTATCCCAGAGCGTTCGCATAACTATGTGAGGCTTGGACGATGATGTATGTCTTGATTTGGGTGTACGTAGAAGAATGACTGAGATTCCTATCCGACGTTGTATGTGTATAGGAATTCACAAGAGACTTTCTTGAAATTCCAAATACGTTTGAAATGGAGGTTAACTTACTTTTGGCTTCGTTCGCAGCTTGTGATGGCTTAGATGTCGAGGCCCATTTCAGACTCGGAGGCAGGAGTGCCCTTAAATTTGAAGCCTGGACGTCCTCTTTTGCTGAGCTGGTTATACTGCTTCTCCTATAAATCTGAGTATTTGGATGACTCTCCTCTTCAATCCTCTCATTATAAACTATCGCAACCAGAGCTCGATTTCCATCTGACCATAACTTTATCCCACGCTCTTTTCGAAGCCTTTTCAACTGTACCAAAGCTTTCGCATATCCTCCATCAGCCTCAAGAATCCGATCCAAGGTAGAGATCTCGTCTGGGCCTAGAAAAGCAAATTCTTTCCAGGAAATTGATCCCGATGACCGAAGCTTGACCATATCGGCCTTCCTCATGGAGAAATGCCCAGCACATGGAATCTGGTGGTACTGGAGACCTCGAATTACGAACGCTGTCACCAAGGCACCTGTTCCAAACATGTTTTCCAGATCATCCTGTGACATGAAGTCTCGGCGAGTGATGCGTTTCAAAGCGTCGAAAACTGTTGCTCGCTTTCTTGAAGTCGAGGACGTGTGAGAAGCATTACTGCTCGTTCCAGTTCCGTATGACAAATTGGACATTGTTTGCCCGTCGTTTGACGGATCATGAGTATCTATTGCTCGAGAGATAGGCCTAGTAACTGAGAATGGCCTCGTATTGAACCCCGCCATTCTTTCGATCGGATGGGTAACATGGAGAACTTGAGGGCCGTCAACCTCAGTAGGTGCTGGCCGTGTATTCTTCGGTCTTTCGCCTAGAGACTTCGATGTGGATGACGGTTCTACTTCCGTATCCGTAGGTCCTTTCTGAGGAATTAAGGCGTCGCCATTCGTACCGAAATCTAGACTCGTCGGCGGGGCTTTGACGTTGTCAGAAGAAACTTCTGCATTTTGATTGATTCCCAGTCCCGAAGCCATAGACTGTCCTGGTATGTTCACGAGACCTGCTCTTCCATTTGGCTGCCGTTCGACGCTTGGTTTTACCAAGGGAGCTATCCTATCATTGTTCACTAAAGACGTGCGTCGCTCTTGTCTAGTATGAAATTTCTCTATCTGATTCGTATAATTGTTCACTTGATGATTGGACGACTTCCAGTTGTCTTCACTATCTTCGGACAATGGTGATGATCGCGGAATAGCCGCGGAGGTCTCTTGTCTTTGGCTGCGATCAAGACTTCGCCAACTTCTTCTCAAAATTGGCCTAGGAATTGATGTATCTACTTGGCTTTTTGCTTGTTCATGTCGTGAATGTTTTGTCGGCGTGGACTTCGCAGCTCGGCTGTCTGTTGGATTAAGATTGAATTGTACATCTGCAACACGAGCTTTCGGTGTTTGATGATTCTGACCTTCCGAATCTTCGGTGACGAGCGTCTGATCAGTTTATAAATATGTCAGCAGGAGTTTCAAAAGTCCTAGGACACTCGTCTATTGCTCTGCACGTCCTCTCTCAAAAATAGCATTGTACAAAAAGACTCGCACAGTCAAAACAATCATACGAACGATTAGGATAATCAATCGAGTTGAACGTTTCCTTACTGGCCCAAATCTTTTAGGACAAATGAGATAACTGTTTGAGAGCTTCTAGTACAATGGCTTCTTGAGGCATACGCAGAGCAATAAACACATCTCTTACTGGGCACATACCACTGATGGTTGTTGATAGACAGTAGGCTTTTTCGGTGGAGTAACGAAAGAACTTCTTTCATTTCGCCGTTGTGGCATCTCGGGCTCGGGACTTGGGGTCGACCCGTGCTCTGGTAACATCGAATGTAATCCATCCTGCTCTATCGGTGTTGGCGAGACCGAAAAGGGGAAATCCCCGAAGCCGTTACTTTCAGTTGTAGGCTCTATACGAATTGGGAGTTCTTTTTGGGTACCACCACGTGTTGCCATGTATGACTGAGCGTTATGCAAGTGTCTCGCGATTTCCTTTGCATTGGGTGTCACACTAATCTCGCTGTCCTGTCGAGTCGCTCTCGAGAATGAGCGGTGAGAATTACCAGGCGGAAAATGTCGTCTGCCCTCGAGGTTTCGTTCTTCGCCGTGCATGTGCCCTCGTAAGGGTTGTCCTCTTTCCGCCATATCATCATACCGACGATGTCTGAGTTCTCGAGGTTCGCTTCTTACCGAGTCGAAAGTGTCCCTTCTTTGACTCAGAGATCTGTTGCGGCCAGTACTTCTACCAAACACTTCACTTTGACTGTCTGATCTCCGAAGGTTCAAACCCGGGTTGAAAGGCGATCTTCGCGGTCTGCGGCTCGTCTCTCCATCAATCATTCCCAGTTCAGCAGCCATATTTCTGATATTCTTGTATGACTGAGGAAGATCGAGTATGTCGTCCCAGTGTTGTTTCCTATATTCAAATGTTATTTAACGTCCAAGCTCAATCAGAAACTGTGTGATTAATGTGCTTTGACTGACTGCAACATCCTGCCAGCTGCAATTTTGATTCATAGGCGACCAGTGGGCAAGAAAAGTGGCAGAGATTCTTTTTCTAATAGCGTAACTCAATTTGAACTAGAAAATTGTTCTACTTGTAGTCCTAGTCTTTTATTCAAAAAACAGTTGTTGGCCGAAAATCTCTGGTCAATTAGATTGTCCTAAAGTCTTTCAGATATTTTAATTCCAAGAATTAAACCTACGCTAGTAGAAGATAAAAGTCTCTGCCAATTTCTTCGTCCACCCTGGGGAGGTAGAGCCTTGAAAGATTGAGTAGTATTTGACCCCCGCCCCCTTCAACGAAATGTCAGCGCCTCGGCCACTGCTCTGCGTGAATTGTACTGGAAATTTCAGAACAATCAACACCCACTCATTACGAAAGCTCGTTCTGTTAAACTTATTTTAAAAAGCTTTCTGGTATAATGGTATGTTGAATGTCCGCAGATCAAAGTCCACCTACAACGTGGCTTTTTATGAAGTGATGAGAGCAGAATAGCTGCCCAAAACAGCAAGGGTACTTCTACTTACGGTTTCGTCAAGCTGAACTTCAGATGGACAACTTGAAATACCAAGATCAACGTAGTTTGAAGTCGATATAGCTGCCTATTATACTTCTCCAGCTTGTCCCCCGTAGAAAAAGCCCAAGTCAATTGCTGCCTTCTCGACAACTTCAATTTCTGGCTAGCATCTAGCTTCAGCGCCGAGGGTATTTCATCCAGATTCCGAGAATTTCTAACCTCCTTATGGAATCTTTCTAATCGTCTCGAAATTTGTAATTCCAGGTTTTTCGCGCCGTCTTTTCGGAGAACGGTAGCTTCGATTCGCCAAAAGATTTTGAGGCATTGATCTGCAGTTTCTTGTACGTCGTCGAGTGCCTTCGTTGAAAAGAGCATAGGCTTTCCCCGCTCGAGAATATTCTTTTCTTCCTCTCGAAGAAGTCCTTCCACTTGAGTGAGTGCGTTGTTAGTCGCTTCGATTCCGTAAAAGATGGCGTGCAAATTGTCGTCGGCCGAATTGAATTCGTCGATGAACTCGTCCAGAAACTTGGCGAGCTGAAGTCCGAAGGAAGCAATTCCGACAACTGAGCCAACTGCACCCAAGATCGTGACCGGGTCCATGATCAGATTACAGAAGGATCAGAGCGTCGAGGAGACCTCCGCGGAGAGGTTATGGCCATTGTTCTGGATTGTCTAAGGCAACGACGGCGAGAGCATTGTTGAAAAGGAGGAGGTGAGGCTGAGACGGGTTGTTACATCTGTCATCCTTCGTACATGCAGCTGCGGTAAGGGCGGATTTCTCAGCAGCCCCCAATATTCATAGTCGCCCCCAATGCTACCCTACGCCGCTCCAAAAAGCGGTATTTTGTAGCGATTGAAGCGGCACCTGGATCCCGACAATTATCCAAATATCTCAAGGTTTTATTCCCTATTACTTTTTTTGAAAAGTCTATAATTGATGGTGGTTTTTGGGAGATATCACGTGGTCTTAGACCAAACTAAACGGAATGTCACAAATCACGTGCTCACGTGATACTTGTCATAATAAAGAGGCGCAACCCTCGACAGGCACATCCAGGTTTCTTATAGCAAATATGGATGCTTAGACTAGCTAAGCGATCCAGAGATTTCTCGCGTATGTAGTCACGTGATCAATCGCATCGCCTGTATTGACAGTCGATGTTAGCGATAGGAGGTCGACTACATCGACAGGTGATGTAGGCGATGTAGAGAGAACGAAGGTTCTATATAAGACTGGCACGTCTGCCATTAGATAGGAGCTTCGTGCTCAACTTAGTTATCAATCTTATCATATTAGTTTGACATCTTTGATACAAGTAACGAGTTCACTTCCAAGTGAACAACCCGATAGTCTTCTTCTTATCATAGCATACCAACCAGCGAACACCCAGCCAAGTTTAGTTAGCCAGTTTGAGTATTCGTTACATTAGCGAGTTAAGTTAATTAGATACTACTACTTAGCTACTCGAATTTAATACACTAATAACTCCTCTCTTAAGAAAACTAAGGTAATATAGATATTTTTGTATTTTAAATAAATATTTAGTAGATATTATATTATATCGTAAATTAACTCTATACTTCTTAAGTAAAATAAGGTAAGATACCTATTAGCGCTCTAGTAAGTCTATTTAACTTATCTAAAACGTTATTCTCCCAAACTCCTAGTATAAATAAAATAATTCTCTTATTATACCTATACTAATTAAAATTACACGGTAATAATTATTTAATTTATTCTATATTATTTATATAACTATTTTCATTATACGAGGTTTTTGTGACGGTTCTAACCGTCACCACCATTCGGATCACGTGGTCTCGCTTAGCGACCCACACCAAGTATTTAGATCGAAGCTCTCTCGAGCTCTCCTCTTCTCCTCAGCTTAGAATCTTTGTTTAATTGACAGTTCTACGATTCCACAACCTACACCGTGGGCCTTGCGTACGTGTCGTCACAGTCGCGGCGTGGGCGTGGTAGTAGTATTAGTAGTTGTCTAAGGGGCCTTCTAACAACCTTTCTAGCGCTCTTTTTAACCTTGTTATTCTATGTTAAAGGATCATTTTTCCTCTATCTTGCGCGGGGTATATCGAATATAAGAAAGAAGGAGCAGTAGTGATGGTAGAAGTAGTGGAAGCTGTACGCGTTCGAGACCTGACGTTGGGGCCAAGCCTTGGCGCTGTGCATGTTCCGCACGAAGGGATAGGCTATGTCGGTTCCTAAAAGTATAATATTTTCTTCTAAAATACCCTCTGTTTTCGCTTAGTAGGGGATAATAAAGTATAAAATCCTAAAAGTAAAGACGCCTACTTTATAGTACTTAAATCTCTACTTTTAACTACCTAATTAGACCTATATACGGAAATTTCGTACGTATACGAGAATCTCTACTACTAAGTTCCTAGAGGGCCCTCTTATTTTATTTTAGCTACTTCCTTTTATACTACTTAATATAGCCGAGGGTACTTATTCTTTACTTTCTACTTATATATATAGGCGAATTATAAGTACTTAAAGCTAGCTAGTAATATAAAAGAAAAAGCCAATAATAAGCCTCATTTGATTGATGTGACGTGTACCGACTAACGATTGAACATAAACCGAGGTAAAATAGGACAATTAATTAAGTTGTGCTAGACTTTTAGTATAATGACTTTTAATAGCGTGTACAGAGCAATGTCTAGGTTTCTTACAACCCAGGAGATGGATGATAGAACATATATAATGTTTATACTAGTCTGATTCACATATCCATGACTTAGTTAAGACATAACAAGACAAAGACGGTACGATACCTATTATTACAATCTCTCTACCACTACAACTACCTATTATTACAAATGATTATATCGCCAAAAAATCTCAAGCACTACGAAGACAACAAGACTCCCAACCCTCCCTTCAACACCCGTCCTCGAGCCGTCCTTCCACACCAAAATCAAAAAGGAAGGAAGGATGTCTCAAGCCATCCATCAACAACGCAGGCGCCAGTGGCAGTACATACAGAAGCACAAAAACAAGAGAGAGAGGACCGCGAAGAACGCCATTTGCGTGCCCGGCGCAGTTTTCCCAGTTGGGTTTGGAGGCATGGCATGTATTGAGTTTTCTGATATCAAAAAGAGCTGTTCCCATCCTTCTCTTAGACTCGTTCAACTCTCGGAATTCCCCCTCAAGTAAAGAATCGTCCTCCAGATGCCTGCCTGCCTGCCCAACGTGAAGAAGTAAAGAAAAAAAAAGGTTGGTATCGCCGCCGTGAATGGACCGCACAAGAAAACTATAGAAATGAGAAAAACATAGAAGAACAAGAATAAACAGAGACGCTGCGTGAGTTAAATGTACAAGTGGCGCTGTGAATTATGTGTAGGAAGCACGATTGTAGAAAGTTGGTGTGGTTGTGGACAATGAAGTTGGGAAATGGCGCGGGAAAAGGATGAGGCCGTAAAATGGTCCCCGTGAGCTGTAGCCAAAAGTGCAACCACAATCCTGGTGTATGACTGACTTTACAGCAGCCAGGATTCAACTCCTTCTGGGCCTTGTAATTGTGACATGGAACAAACGTAGAGTGTATGTTGTTGAGGGTGGAGGTAACATGCAATTGATCTACTTCTTTGAGACTGTGCCTGCGGGTGGTGATTTGACGTTATTGGAAAGCCATGCCTATTATGGGAAATAGGAGTCAGCTTTCAATATCAGAAAATGAGGAAATCAGCTTGACAATCTTACCAAGCCTTCCAATAATCCTTCGCCTGTAGTGGCACAACTTGGTACTACGAACCAGACCTTGTCCTTCAGTGAATTGAGCTTTAGTGCTTCCGTGACTTCTTGTGGTTTCATTGCTGCGCCATTTTATCAGAAGCTGCCTCATCATACGAGCGTGCAGGGGATACATACCTCCGGGAATGTCTTGTTTGTTGGCGAATACAAGTAATAGTGACTCTTTCATTTCTCTATCATTGATAATTCGGTGTAATTCTGATTTGGCCTCCTCTATGCGCGCCTTATCGCTCGAGTCGATGACGAATATCAATCCTTGGGTACCTGTGATTGAAAGGTCAGCACTTGCCCGGTATTTCCACATGTCAAACGCGCCCTAGCGCATCTGCTGTCTCCTTCCAAAATACCGCCTGGGCTTTCCACATCTCGTAAAAGGAGACTCGAAACATACCACTGAAATAATGTCTCCATAACGGTCTGATCTTATCCTGTCCTCCCACATCCCAAACATTGAACTTGACATTCTTATATGTGACCGTCTCGACGTTGAACCCCACGGTAGGAATAGTCGTAACATCTTGATTGAGCTTCAATTTGTAGAGAATCGTAGTCTTTCCGGCAGCATCCAAGCCCAACATCAACAATCGCATTTCCTTGGATCCAAAGATCTTCCCCATCATCTTGGAGATCTGGCCCCCCATTGTGTGTAGCTTTTATAGACTCGTGCGGTTCGGTAGGAGAGGTGCGGTTGCGCGATTGAGATGGACGAGGTATCGCTATGAGCTCAGCGCGTCCTTCGATGATGCTTCTAGAGGGATGCCGCTTCGGAGTGAGTGAGGTATTAACGGCGAGGCTGAGACCACGGGCGGGCGGGCGAGATCTGTACAAATGATGCGCTCTGCAGAAGAATTGTTCTTGGGGTGTTCCGTGACGTGTGCAGGCAATAATAGAGGAAATGTGATGGTGTTGGTCGCGCCGAGAATCTGTTGTGATATTCTAAGGGATCGAGTGCGAGGGCTCTTGGGTGTTCACTTGAATGTAGAACCGAAAATTAAATTGATCTTGCGCGGATGGCAGATGTGGTGGAAAGGAGATTTGATATCTTAGAAGCATCTGAGATTGGTCGTCCAGACGCGATGTTTCAGGGGTCGGGTCTGGGCCAAGCGTCGGGTATTTGGTGCAGGTCCCGTGACTTGACATTCACTGTTCGCGAAGTCAACAAACTTTGCTTAGCACTCTGTCCGACACGCCCAGATATATATAAGATGATGATGATTCTCAATATACAACTATTGGTATTGGCTGTTATGCTCCAGTATTCTTTTCTTCATGTATATTACTTCCTATTATCACCTCATTTCTATTGTTTACAAAAGGTTCAGTACCGACAAAGCTCTTCAAAGGGATTTCTTGCAACTTAACTTACCAAGAATAGCAAAATGCAAGCTATTGGATTGAGAGCCTTGGAATGTGACAATGTGTAAATTCACTTACAAGTACTGGTATAGTTAGGGTTCTGGGACGTTTCAAGAAAGCTTAAATCTGTACAGGCTTGGCGAAACCACCGCGGGGTAATTCAGTGACGTTGCATCAGCTTCTGATCTGGATGACAACTGCATGCCGATACCATTCCCCTCCTTCAACCGCGTCTTAACTTTGAACCCTCCATTCCCTCCGCTAAATACGGCAATCGGGGTCATAAGAAACCGCCGCCATGGTCCTTCAAGTACCATTATTTCGACTCCAGTGCGGCGTCAATAGCTATGACTGGGGAAAAGTAGGAAAAGACTCTGCCGCAGCCAAATTCGCAGCTGCCACACCTGCAGATGATTTCTCAATTCAAGAAGACAAGCCCTATGCAGAGGTATCTCGAAACATCCCAAAAGCTTCACTTCCGTACGTGGCTCACCGCAATAGCTGTGGATGGGCACACATCCCTCGAATCCCTCGAAAGACCTCACAACGCAACGAACCCTCCTTGGTCTCGTACAAGAGAACCAAGCCTTGATGTCCATCGAAATCAACGAGAAATACGAGAACAAATTACCTTTCCTCTTCAAGGTCCTGTCGATTGGGAAGGCGCTGAGCATACAAGCACATCCCAATAAACAGCTGGCTGAACAATTACACAAGAGAGATGGCAAGAATTATCCGGATGATAATCATAAACCGGAGATGACTATTGCGATTACTGCATTTGATGGATTCTGTGGCTTCAGACCTCTGGCCGAGATCTCGCATTTCTTGTCTGCGGTTCCAGCGTTGAAACAGCTTGTTGGGGAGTCCGAGGCAAAGGAATTTCAATCAACTGTCCAAGGACAAGAAACCACAGACAACAAGAACGAAGAAGAAGAAAACAAGAAGGCTTTACAGAAAGTCTTCGGTTCATTGATGACCTCGGATAAGGAGGACATCGAAAGTGCCAGTAAAGATCTGGTAGAGTCAGCACAAAAGGAAGGATCAGAATTTGCCGGTGGCGGGGGTCCGACCAATAGCGGGCAAGAGCTTGCAGACTTGGTTGTAAGACTGAATAAGGAATTTCCAGGAGATATCGGATTGTTTGTCCTATTCTTCCTCAATTATGTCAAACTTGACGTTGGAGAGGCAATGTTTCTCAAGGCTGATGATATCCACGCATATCTGAGTGGAGATATTATTGAGTGTATGGCTGCATCAGATAATGTCGTTCGTGCTGGATTCACACCCAAGTTCAAAGATGTGGATACCTTGGTTACCATGTTGACCTACAACTATGCTCCTATTGAGGAGCAGAAGATGGAGCCTGTCGATTATCCATATGTCACTTTGAATCGCGTGGCATATTCTTCAGGATCAGGAGCGATTCTGTATGATCCCCCAATTGAGGAGTTTAGTGTTGTCAAGACGGACCTGAAAAAGAAGGGTGCAAAGGCCACTTTCGAACCCATTGCAGGTCCTAGCATATTCATCTGTACAACAGGAAGCGGGAAAATTAGCGTGGGGCCTAAGGTAGAGGAAGTGAAGGCTGGGTATGTCTACTTTGCAGGCGCCACTGCAGAAGTAATTTTGGAGAGTGACGGAGATGAAGAATTCACAACCTTCAAGGCGTTTTGTGAATTACAAGGGAAAGAAGACGCCAAGGAGAAGTTGTGAAATGATTTATGGCTAGAGAGAGATGGTTGACCCGACAGTACAGGGCTATCTGTTTGTATCAAACAATATTTTTAGAATTATTCTTTCGGTTTCTTTTCCTCGGCAAAGACTGGACAGCGCAATTGTATTCCCACGAACAACTTTGATGCATTTCTCGTTCCTTGTAGTTCTGCTATATACACTTGGTCTCGGGCGTCACAAACTTTTAACTTTAGTAGGTTTACAAGGGATTGTTCATAGAAGCTTTCCCCATTTTGTTCCAGAAGGTTGGGCTTCAAGTCTCGATGAGGCTGAGTGGATTTACATGGTAAACAGCCCACTACGAGTACATTTTAACATTTGTTATGCCTGGCGGGAAGTACTCCGTAATGAATTCCGATACATAACGCCTCTCGTGTTTGACTGGAAAAGGGGTAGTATGATAGCCTCGTTCACCTAAACTCCTGTTGTCACAATAATTATGGATAATTCTAAATGATCGCCATTAACATTAGCACAAATCAAACGAACACTAAGAATGTGGGTCAACACACGAAATCGATCTCGACAAGTAGGCAGATTTCTCACCAACCCAGTTTAGACAAACTCAATACAATATTTCCCCAGACTCCACCATGAGGAAAAAACGAATTGTTGCACATCGCAAATATACATATCGCGAGTGTTAAGTTCCCAAGTGGGTATCAATATATCGAATTTTGCCAATCCTTCCCTCGGGGGCGGGAATCGTTAGCAGGGTGAACACCGTGAAGGAAAAAAAACAAAATTATTCCGGCATCCCAAGCACGGAGATTTTTGTTGGCGAAAACGAAAAATACCTGGGAAAGTCGATCCAGGTGATAATAAGCTTAAATGAACACGAGGAGCGACGAGCAACGAAAAGTGCTCGAGGGAGCTCAAAGTGGGAAAGAGGCTCTCGTATCTTCACGTTTCGGTGGGTTGGTGTTGATTCGGTTGGGTCATTGGATGATGGCTTGCGAGGGCTCTCCATGGCGGCCATGCTCAGACATACGTTACCTGTCCCAGCAGCGATGTGCAACAAACCCAAGACTTGAGATGCGGGATCCAGTCATGATCCACTATCCCACCAAAGCTCCAGGTGTTCAGATGGGCGAGCTTGGACGATGGGGATGGGAACAGATGTTGTCCCAGGAGCGATGTGCAACAGAGGAGTTTTGGTGATGCACGACCCGGTTGGGGTGGGGTCGGGACGAGCATTGTTTGGCATCGGAGGGAGACTTGTTGGTGCGGAAGTGGATTGTTGCGGATTTTAGGATGGGAACTTCTGGCTTGGCCGTGAGCGATCAGATTTTAGCTCAAAAAAAGCGATGTGCAACGATTGTGAGGAGGTCTGGCACAGACGGTTTTTGGTGGGTTTGAAGCGCCTTTCTCGAGTCAGAGCCGTCTGCATGCTCGGCTATTGGTGTTGGCAATCTGAGGAGCGATGTGCAACAAGATCTTGTTAGATTTGATGAATCCAAATTTAGAAACCATGAGTTCTTGCACACGATGCGATGATTGGTTTCTGGATTTGAGAGGGTCCACTCTCGAACTGTCTGGCGAATCTGATCAGATGTTGGTTTTTGACGAAGAGAGAGGCGGGACTGGTTGTCGAGACTTGCTTAACTTACTTATGAGAAACTCGCGCGCTCCACTTAATACCATTGCTTACTAACTTTCATCTTTTAGAAGGAGTATAAAGAAAAGCGGCTACTATAAGCCTCTCGAGTAGGTAATTTACGTACAAGAATACTAGGTATGGTAAGATGCTTGGACGAGTTAAAAAAAAATCTGATCGAGACTCTAGGAAACCAGATTACCGTCTAGTAGACTATCGTCCTCCTATGAGATGACATTGTAGTCGCTCTTTACAATGATCTGGTATGTAATTTTATATGACCAAGGCTATGTACGAATACTATCTTGGTAGTACAAAGAGTCTAGTTCTATGTAATAGCTAAAGCTCGTTTCGCTTCTCGCGTAACAACCCACTTTATTCAACGATTGGAACAATAGAAGAGCTGGGGTTATAGATGTACACTACACGATGGAATTTTCTGATTGCAAACGTGATTCGTCACATTATAACAGGTGGGCTTATAATGTTTGGCAATAAACCAGCCCCTTCTGACTACCATATATACTGTACAATACTTTAAATTAATTCTGACCACAAAATTTCTCCAAAGACTTAGTACAAAATTAAATCTCTACATTTCTCTTCAAGCATTGGTAATAACGCAAGGCAACTGTCTCGATACATGTAAAATAGAATGGTCCGCAAAGTGGGAGGAATCAAGAGTGTATTAGGAGGTATAGGAGATAGGCTCCCGGTGGACAAGAAAAGTAGCAGAGACCTCTTTTATCTTATCCTAATTCAACTAAAAACCATTATATTATATTCTTTATTTGGAATAATTAAAATGATTTATTGAAAACCATAGTACAATAAAGGTGTCGCTATACGAATATTGAGTACATACTCGGTATAAGTTATAGCACGTGCAAGCTGGCCTCAGGGCTAGCAGGGGCGCTAGCGCCTTGGCACTGCTATATAATAGCGAGCACCTACAACCTTTACTCGGTGTACATATCTAATAGTCGAATACGACACTATTCTATTTATATTAATACTTTATCTAGACTCTCTATTAGAGTTAAACTAATACTAATTAGTAAGTGCGTATAGATTAAACAACTTTATATAATATAAGTATTATATACCGTGTTTAAGTCTAGTATCGTTATTATATCCGAGCTATTAAGAGTATAGTACTATTTACTAAGAGATTATATTTCTTAATAGAATTTAGTAGAATCTCTATAATAGATACTATACTATCGTTACTAGATATCTCTTAGTATTTATCTAACTAGCGATCCCTCCTTTTATCTCTTAAAACTAGTTGTAATACTAGTACTAAGGTGTAACGAATACTCAAACTGGCTAACTAAACTTGGCTGGGTGTTCGCTGGTTGGTATGCTATGATAAGAAGAAGACTATCGGGTTGTTCACTTGGAAGTGAACTCGTTACTTGTATCAAAGATGTCAAACTAATATGATAAGATTGATAACTAAGTTGAGCACGAAGCTCCTATCTAATGGCAGACGTGCCAGTCTTATATAGAACCTTCATACCCCGCGTATGGTCCGAGTATAGAGTAGTATAAGCCTCCCTTATACTTCCTCATACTCCGGTAGTATAGAGTAGTATAAGCCTCCCTTATACTTCCTCATACTCCCTAGTCACATGATCTTCTGTAAGGAAGAAATCCTTGGATCGCCTAGCTACCCTAAGCGATCCCCATTTGCTATAAGAAATCTGAATGTGCCTGTCGAGGGTTGCGCCTTTTATTATGACAAGTATCACGTGAACACGTGATTCGTGACATAAGGTTTCTTTAAAAACACCTTTAAAATAATAATAATAATAATATTTAACTTACCCTAAAATCGATTAAGTACGATTATTCTAGAATATAATTTACTATAAAGTTAAGCGTATATATAATTACTAAGGTTAATACGTAGGCTCTTATATAATAATACTACTAGCACTTTATATAACGTGGTTTATCAGCGAGTCGATCATATCAGCGAGTCGATCACTTTTCCTTGGCACTACCTCCTCAAACTTCAACACACGTTTTCTTCAACTATTTACCATGGAAATTCAAACTCAAGAAGCGCGAATTACTCTAGCTATCGAGGCTATTCGGTCGTCCAAAAAACTAAGCAAACGCTCTGCGGCAAAGATCTACAATGTACCATATACGACTCTTTCCGACAGAATGGCTGGCCGAACCTACCGCCCAGATTCTCAAGCCAATTGTCATAAGTTGACTGA